ATCAACTCGAACCAAAAGGTCCATGGGTCAATTTCATGATTGAGCAGACAATCGCACTCGCAAATAGCTATGGTTTAATTGTCAACAGCTTCTATGAGCTCGAATCTTCTTACATGGATTACTGGAATCGATGTATAGGACCTAAATCGTGGTGTCTTGGCCCTTTTTGCATTGCGAAAGCAAAGACGGTAGAAGACGAATCTACCAAGCCAAAGTGGAAGCAGTGGCTCGATGACAAAGTCATGATTGGAGAATCAGTTCTCTACGTAGCATTTGGCACTCAAGCAGAAGTATCAGAAGACCAGATTCTTGAAATAGCCAAGGGCTTAGAGCAATCTAATGTGAACTTCTTGTGGGTGATAAGATCAAAAGCCATGGAGATACTGAAAGGATTTGAAGAGAGGGTAAAAGATAGAGGGTTGATGGTGAAAGAGTGGGTTGATCAAATGGAGATACTTCAGCACAAGAGTGTAAAAGGATTCTTGAGTCATTGTGGATGGAATTCGGTCACCGAAGCCATATGTGCTGGAGTTCCCATTTTGGCAATGCCATTCATGGCTGAGCAATACCTGAATGCGAGACTTGTTGCTGAGGAGATCGGTGTTGGGCTGAGAATTAGGCCGAGCAACGGATCAGTAAGGGGCTTTGTGAAATCTGAGGAAGTGGAGAAGGGGGTTAGAGAAATGATGGAAGGTAGAAAAGGCGAGGAGATAAGGAAGAAGACGAAGAAGGTTGGAGAAGCTGCAGTCAATGCAATGAGAGAAGGTGGTTCCTCATGGAAAACTTTAGATCAACTCATCATTGATGTGAGTAACTATGAAGCAATTAGCTAGTTAAGAGAAAGATAACTCATGTAATCAACTATTTTACCAAGAGTGCTTCTCATGCCAATAGAGAAGCAAAACTTTGTTTCTTGTTCATCTCTTAAGTTGACAATACGGAGTCAACTCAGAATATCTGTACTATGTTTTTTCTTTCTGAGCTATGTAGAAGAAATGAAATTAAGTTTGATATTTTTAAGGTGGAGTTACGAATTTAAAGAATTAATGAAAGAAATAACAAGAATACTAAGCAAATTGCAGGCATGAGAAGGAAACATTTAATCCCTGTTTGATTATTTAGCAAAGAATTCAAAAATCTGTACTAAGTTGAATCATCCAAACAATCCCATTAAATCGAGTTCATCATATTTTTCCAATACTGGCTAAATCCTGCAAGAATGGTATATACGGGTTATCTAGGTAAAGTTAGAAGCAAAGCATTTGATCATAAACTAGGTGCTGGAATGATTCGCACTTGAACTCTGGTGTAGAATATATGATGGTAAAATATTCATTTTTATCATGTCTATACTTTACAAAGTGAAAGAATAATGATAACTCGAACTCGATTCTAGATGTGAACTGTTTAAAACATAATCCTTACAAAATAACAAATTTATTAAATTAGAACATAACTGGTCCTCTTATGTTTCTAGCCACTTGATGCCTTTTTAACAAAACTTTCTCATTAAAATTTTGGAGTTTAGATGAGAATATATATATATAGTTCACCTACAAAAAACGAGTCTAAATCACTACATTCCTAATTTTTTTTTTTCCAAACGATAACAATTGCATTACTTGAAAACAGAAGAACCAAGGTTTGGAGCAAAGGCCCCTACATCCATTTTGGCTAAACTACTCAGCCAACTTGGAAAAGACTCCTTCCAAGCAATCTCAGAAACTAATTTTAAGGCAAACTTTGCCAATTGATGGGAAACATTATTCCCTTCTCTTTTGACAAACGAAAACAGGCAAGAACTGAAGTCCTTGCTGAGTGCCATAATATCAAAAAGGACAGCACCTGCTAAATGGTCATTCAACTTTCCGTCTCTAATCTGATCCACAATTCTCTTGCAATCAGTTTGAATAATAATGTTTCTCCACCCATTCTGCTTGGCCAAGACAAGCGCATGCCGGACAGCTCTTGCCTCCTCAACAATTGGAATGCCCCTCCTGTCTTCACACCCAGCCCAAGCTCCTCTTAACTTCCCTTCCATGCATCTAGCCACAGCTCCCCAACTGGCCTTTGCAACCAATTTGTTTGATAGCTGCATCAGTATTTAAACATATAACATTTTCTGGAGGTGGCTCCCATTTCACAGGTCCTCTTTCAATTCCCCTACCCTTTTCGTCATCCTCCATCTTTACTATGGACTACATTCCTAATTAATAGATACAAATATGAAAATTCCTAAATAAAAAAGGTGAATTATCTATTAGTTTGTTTTTATCACTTATATCATATGGTTTAATGTAACATTTTCCTACATGTATTGCAACTCAAAATAAAACTGCATCTTTTTACTGTATATGAGTTCACAAGAACACAATCCTTACGGGTGCATAGTATCAATTCGAACATGGATATTAATTGGTTGAGCCTATTGATCCGCTAATTGATAAACCAGACAAATTCAAAACCTTTGCCAGCTGGTTTTTTAGCAAAGCGTGCCAAAACAGCTTAATCGTCACATGTCTTGCTCAGTTGGTGGATCCAAAAGAGCTAAGGTTCTCATATGATGATTGATGATGATGAATTGAAGTGGGATAGCAGATGAATGAGTTTAGAAACTGACAGAAAGTTCGGATTTTTCAGTTGGGAGAAAATATTCATATTGAATGCAGAAAGGATTAATGCTTTGGGCTATAGGGGGCACATATAATTATTCAACCATTTATTTCTAACATACAAGAGAAAATTACAAAATAGCATTAATGCTTGGACTATAGGGGGCATAGATAATTATTCAACCATTTATTTCTAACATACATGAGAAAATTACAAAATAGGCAGCTCTATTGTTGGATGCAAGAATTCCAACCTACACAGATGACTGAAGCCCAATAATCCCACAACCAACCCTTGCACCAGCATTCCAGTAGTCCTGCTATGTTCATGTCCACCTTCTCCCAGATCATCCGGATCGGCATGCACAATAGCCACCCGTCCCAATATGAAATGTCGACAATTAAATGGAATCTAAAATTTTTTGATTGAGATCTCATCAACCCCATCTGCACCAGCAATAATATTCCCCAAATCGCCGGCATGACGATTTTGATCAGATGGCACTCCGTGATTCTTTTTTAGTGGGTCGCCAAGAGCATGAATATGGAAGCCAAGGAGGCCTGGAGTTTGCCCGGTTATTCTTCCTTTAAAAGGGTCGCTGCCCCCCATTGAAGTATTGGAGGAGTTGGATAGAACCCCTAACGTGTTGTAGTCACCGCCGGAGACAATAGCCATTGCTTTCACTATGCTTATTTGCTTTGCATACTGGAATAGAGAAATGGGATTGTCCGGATTGGGCGAAAACAAGGGAGAATCGGAGAGAAGAAGAAAGGTGAGGAGGAGATGATTAATTTGATAGGGGAGGTTTTGCAGACAATGTTAAGATTTCTAGGGCATTATTAGATGGAAAATGCATTTTTAAGTGTTTTGTCCCTATTTGGATTTGGAGAAGAAGGGAGAAATAGGTCATTCACATTTGGAACAATGTAATAATGGAATTTCAAATTTACCCTTTGGTGGGTCTCAGGTAGATTCCCATTAAAATTGGCTAGAAAAAATGTCAGAGGACAAAAAACGATTACTTTTTATGTGTTTTTTTTTTTTCAGAAACGATAGATAGATTTATTAATAGTAAAAAGCATTACACCATATGAGCAAGGGATCAACTTGAGCTATATAAAAGTGTACAAAGACACTGAGGATGTAGAAATATTCCTCATCAAAATGTATGTGTGTTGCAAGTTCACTCAGTCTTACACTTAGTCTATTAGTTTCAACAGGCAACCTATCAAATGAGCATTTCCTAAATAGTGAGCTAAGGTCTCTTATGTCCTCTAGGTGAACTGCAATGCCTATGTCTCTTGAGGCTTGACTCCTTTTCAATTTTAGAACCCGAATGCAGGATATTTTGATCTTTATTGACTGCCAACATTGTTCCTTTGTCTTGCATGGGCCAATTTGATAGCCTGCACGTTGTCCAGTACAATTGATCCAGTACTTCTTTTCTTTAGTATCCAAGCTGCAAGTAATTGACTCAGGTTGTTTTTTTGCTATGATTCCAACTCTCGTATTCTGACCTTCTTCATGTTGCCCAACATCTACACAAATGTTGAGCATATCATCATCAACCACCCTTTGCTCTTGTTCTTGAGCTATTTTTGTTTCTGAGATGCTTATCCGATGCACTGTTTGTTGAGATTGGTGATATTTCTCCCAATCCTAGATTGCCTTTCTAATAACTTCCATTGGATGTCTTTCTTTATCTTCAAATTCTGATTCATTCCTGACTTCCAAATCTGCCATAATATGTCCTCTGTCAGGGCTATGTGTTCCATTCCATCCTTTCTGGCTTTCACTTCCAACAGCATACTCCACCAGCTTCTGAAATCACCTGTGTAATCTTTGAGTCCATCCCACTGGAGGGGTGCCATCTTCCATATCATTCATGCTCTTCTGCAATGAAAAAATATATGTTCCACTGTCTCAATATTCTCTCCACAATCCTTGCAAATCATATCACCTTTCCCTATTCTTCTGTATATTGCTTCCCTTCCTGGCAAAGCATGATTCAGACTCTTCCATATAAACAACTTTTGCTTGTGCTTTATCCTGGTTTTCCATAGCTATTTCCATACTCTATCATTCTCAGCTGCCTAGCTTGTTTATCCCTTATTTCTTCCATCTTTTTCCATCTGCCTATCCTCTCTTGTCATTGCTTCATATGATGACCTGACCATGTATTGTCCATTCTTACTATGGCTCCAAAATTAGCAATTAGTTCGACCAGTTAAACTAATAGGCATTTTGAGGATTTTTCCAGCTTCTTTTGAGCTAAAGATCCTGAAAATGAGTGGTGTATTCCATCTAAAGTTATATATCAACTTACTCACTTTGCTAATCTTGCAACCTGGAGGTTTAGGAGAGTTTAGTTTACCTCTTTTGCATTCCTATATCCAGGCATCCTCCCAGATTCCAGTGTTTTTACCATTCCGAATTTTCTTTCTTGCTCCCCTCTTCACCTCCTCCATTGTTCCCATCAAACTTTGCCATATCCAGGATGGATTTCCTTTGACTTTGCAGCTCAATGGTGACTCATTGGGATAATACTTAGTTCTCATCACTTTACTCATTAGAAGTTTTGGGCATGTGAGGAGCCTCCAAATCTGTTTGCCCAGCAGAGCTTTATTGAATCCTTGGAGTTCTTTGAAGCTTAGTCCACCCATGTTCTTGTCAGTTGTCATCCTTTTCCATGAGCACCAGTGAATTTTCCTTTTTCCACTTTCTTCTCCCCACCAGAAGTTTGCCATCAATGCATCTATCTCTCTGCATAGTTTCACTGGAAGCTTGAAACATGACATTGCATAAGTTGGCATTTCTATGGTGATTGCTTTTAGTAGAACCTCTTTCCTTGCTTGGCTAAGCATTTTGTTGCTCCAGCTTGAGATTGTCTTCTGGTATTTTTCTCTGATAAAACCAAAGATTTGGTCTTTGATTCTTGTGATGACCATTGGCAACCCCAAGTATTTCCCTTGTTTTGCCACTTTCATGTTTCCTAATCTGCTGCAAATCTCACTTTGCTCTTCCTGTTCCATATTCTTTCTAAAGAAAACCCGAGGACTTTTCCATATTGATCAACTGTCCTGAGCCTTTTTCATACATCTTCAATATTCTCATCACTTCTTCAGCTTGAGTAGGTTCTGCTTTGTAGAAGATCAAGGAGTCATCTGCAAAGAAAAGGTGGGTTAAAGATGGACCATTTCCGCTGATCTTCATTCCATTTAATCGATGGTTCCTCTCTGCTTGAGCCAATAGGTTGGAAAAGCCTTCGGATACTGGAAGGAACAGATAAGGTGATAGGGGATCACTTTGCCTAATGCCCCTTGAAGGTATCACACATCCTTTAGGTTTTCCATTTATATTGACAGAAAAAGGTAGCTGTTGTGATGCATTCCATTATCCAGCTTATCCAGCTATCACAGAACTCCATTTTTGCCATGATTGCTTTGAGATAGCTCCATTCCACCCTGTCATAAGATTTTGACATATCTAATTTTAAAGTCATAAAACCTTGAGATCCTTGCCTTTTGTTTTTGAGATAGTGCAAGTACTCACGAAAAATTATAACATTGTCCAAAATTGTCTTCGAGGCACAAAAGCTGCCTGGTTTTGGCTGATGCAGTTTTCCAAAACTTTTTCAATCTATTTGCTAGAATTTTGGAAATGATCTTGTAAAAGACATTACAAAGACTTATGGGTCTGAATTGCTTGACCTCAGTGGGGTTCTCAACCTTAGGTATGAGGGATATAATGGTATGGTTTACTACTTTCAACATGTGACCAAACTGGAAGAAGCTTTTAATGGCTTGCATAATATCTGCTTTGAGAATAGGCCAAAATTTCTAAAAGAAAATTGGTGTCATGCCATCAGGGTCAGGAGATTTATTTGGGTTCATAGAGAACAAGGCTTCTTTGATTTCTTTTTCCTCAACAGGTTCAATGAGTTCTGTGTTCATTTGGTCTGTGATGGTCGGTGGGATTCCTTCTAGAAGCAAATTTTCCTGGTCCACTCCCTTACTGCAGAAAAGGTCCTTAAACTGATTCTCTCCTTCCTCTTCAATTTCCTTTTCTGTTTTAGTCCAGGACCTGTCCTCTTTTTGAAGCTTTTGGATCTTATTCCTTTTTCTTCTGCCCTTTACACTAGAGTGGAAAAAAATGAGTATTCCTATAACCCTCCTTAAGCCATTGGACTCTAGATTTCTAGCTCCAAAAGAGTTTCTTTTCATTATAAGCCTCTTTCAATTGCATTTTAAGATCCTTGTTTTTACCCTTTTTGTCTTGACACTCGCTAGTTTTGAGTTCTTCCAAGAGCTTTTTGATACTTTCAATTATGTGCCTTGCATTTCCTTGGAAGTTATTTCACCATTTGAGGATGGCAATTCTACAGGTTGCAACTTTCTTGTGTAGTTTATACATACTTGAACCAATTTGCTCTTCTTCCCAAGCCTATTTGATTACTTGTTCTAGTCCTTCTTTTTTCAGCCATCTTCTATCAAACACAATCTTTTCTTCTTTTTCTCCTTTTGGGGATTGGAGTCCAGGAAAATCATGCTATGGTCTGAGCCAAAGTTTTCTATGTGTTTAACTATTGTTCTATCAAACATTTGGCTCCATTCACTGCTCCCCAAAGCTCTATCTAGCTTTTGTTTGATTTTCCCTTCTTGAGCCCAATGGTTGTTCCATGTCCAGGGTTAGCCTTCAAAGCCTAAGTCAATCAGCTTGTTTTGGTTAATGAAATTCCTAAAATCCCTGAATGCTCCTTCTTCCCTCCCATTTCTCCTCATTCGAAGTGATGTCATTGAAGTCTCCTACAATTATCCACCTAAGGCCCCATAATTCCTTTCTTCTTTCCACAACTTTCCATTGGTTGTTCCTAATTTGATCATCAGTGTTAGCATAAATACCAATGAACCACCAATCCAAATTAATGTCTAGGTCCATTATATGGAGTTCCATAGTGAAAGCAGTAGTCATAGCCTCTAATACCTGCACATCAGTATTCCACATTACTGTCATACCTCTAGATTTATTCATAGATTCAACCACCACACTTTTCTCAAATCTCAACTGTCTTCTTACTTTTTCCATGAATTGTTGTTTGTTTTTGCTTTCACACAAGAAGATCATTTTCGGGGAGAGGAGTTTGCAAGCCTCCCTCAACTGGAAAATTGTCAAGGGGCTCCCAATACCTTGAAAATTCCATACCAATACTTTCATTTATCCATTGGAGACTATATTGGGCTGGTTTCCTCCCCCGCTCCTGAAGTTGCACAGATTTCTTGAACTGTCTCCTTTCTGTCCCTTTTTCTTAGTACCTCAGCCACTTCAACATCCATCATATCTTTATTTGCTAATTGGAACTTTCTCTTTCCTAAAGTTTCCATGTTATTCATGCAATTCTGTAACTCTTTCTATGGCTTTCTGTTAATATTTGGGGTTTAGTTGTTTTTTGGTCCTTTTAGAGGTTTTTTGATTACTTATAACCACTGGGACCTCCAAATTTTCTTCCACCTACATATACTCACCTTCTGGCTCCTTTAAAATTTGTTCCATAGGCTTCTCTAGCACTATATTCAGATTCCATTCCAAGTTTTTTCTTTCAGCATCTTTCTTTACCTGTTCCTCTCTTCCTTCTTGATTGTTCTTACAGCCCTCTTTTCCACTCTCCTTAGCCTATGCATTAGTTACCATGTTAGTTCCTAGCAATCTACCTGCATTATTTTCCCCATGTCCCCTAATGTCTATCTCATTACCACTTGGCTGCCTTCTTTCCACTATGTCACCTCAACTTGGCTTTGGCACTAACTTCCCATCTTTAAAACCCTATCTTTGTTTGTTAGGGGATATATTGACAGGTTGTCTACCTCTTGTTTCTCAGTTTTCCCCCTCCTAGTCTTAGCCATGGCCCAAATTGATTATCCAACTGGCCTTTCCCCACTTGAACACTAGCTGAGCAATTCCTTTCACTATGTCCTATTTTGCTACAAGTGTAATAGAAATCAGGGCATCTTTCATACCTGAAATTTATCCATCTCACTTTTCCTTCCATTTTGACAGTAGTACCTCTCATGAGGGGTTGTGAAATGTCTACCATCACCAGTAGTTTAATGTGCCTTCCTTCCTTGCCTCCTCCTTGAGGGATAATCACATCTTTTGTTTCCTGGAACACAAAAGTTATCTTTTTCCCTACTTTCTTTGAAATCCAGTGTACTGGAAGGTTCCAAACCTGAATCCATAATAGGGCTATATTAAAATCTGTAACCTTTTCTTCTAAACGTTCAAACCATGATCTTACTACCAACACCTAGCTATCAATGATCCATGGACCTCCTTGAGAGATCCTATCTCTATCCTTGTCACCGGGTATGAAGAATTGAAACGTATTTACTCCTACTTCCACCACCCGCAATCCCTTAGGGTATCCCCACGCTAGGGTGACAATTTTTAACTCCCACAAAGTTGATAATTTTTTGTCTCTTTATCTTTCCCACCAGACTTTCTCCACATTCCTTAACACTAGGTCCTACATTCCCCAGGTCAATTTCTATACCACCCATCTCTTTATTAGATAACACAAATTTTTGCAGTATCTCAGCTATGTCGTCTGCCATGGAGCTCCTACAAGGTTTCTATGAAAGAAAGATCATAGGCCAGCTATAGCCCATAAAGACGAACATAGATCAGTTTTAAGAACAGGGGCTACTCTTAGTCTCTCACTACTCGAGGTTCTGAGCTACCACTAAAGGACCCCAGATCAGGTGATAAAGAACAAAAGTTTTTTGAACTACACATACTCTGCACCAGTCCAAAAGCACCAGATTGAAACAAATGCATGGTTTTTAAAAATTAGGACCCAGAGGTCTCTTTTTTCCTTTTTTACAACTTTCTCTCTTTTTTTTTTGGAAGCCAGGAAAGAAAAGAAAAAGAAAGAAAATGGTATTACCTACTTTTTTTTTCAAGAGCACTTGCATGGACAAGCTAGCTAGATCTTTACGGTAATAGCTTCAAAATTACCTATCTAAGCTGGTGTCAATGTTTCAAACAAAAACAGTAGTGGAGATCCTTGTTGTTGTGTTTCCTTTATACCAACCAATGAGAACTAAAGATGAGATCTTGTATTTTGACTTTAATGCTGCCATTTACTGATGTTGGAAAGGGCTTTTATTAAGGAGGCGACTGGATTTAAGATGGGATTCAAAGAGTTTGTTTGTGGTTTTGGATGTTTACCAAGTTTTAGATAAAGAGCTTCAAGGCTCCCAAGGAGGGAGACAGCACACTTCCCAATAGAGAGAAAAGTTTGAACTCTCACACGGGAAAGAAAAGTACTGTTTGAACTCTCACTCGTTTTCATTCTTAGAAATTAAATTTTATCATATGTGATATGTGAGGGACAATTTGTGCAATTTTCTGTAAAATTTCACCACGTTTTAGAATTAATATAAAATACTTAATCGCTTCACTTACCAAATTAATAGGCTAAATAGATTCTTGATTAGTTCCTCATTTTAAATTTCAAGGAGTTTAAAGTATATCAGGATCATCCTGATTTGGGCTTTAAAGGCATCTAATGACTTCTTGCCACCTAAACTTCTTTTAAGTGTTTCATTCTTACAATATTACACCATCACCTATGATATTTGGACACCAATTTGAATTAATAGTTAAAAAAAAAGAACCAATAAAATATGGAGCATTTCTTAAAGCTCCAAAAAATTTTTTCCCAACAATCACAACACAATTCCCTGGCTTTTCCTTACCCCACAAAAGAAAGAGTGATAAAGGAAAGAAATACCTTAGACAAAGAAAACGAAACAATTTGTTGACTTGCCATACTCTTTCTCGTACACTTGCTAAGTTATTCACTTGTATAATTTTGGGCTGATAATTTTGTAAATTTTTATTTTCAATATCCAGACTCTAAATTTCATCTATGCATTTGAAATTTGCAAGAATTTTATATACCTTTGAATTGTCAAGATATCGTTGTTACTTGTAATTATTTATGTAGTAGAATAACTCAATGATGTAGTTACTCAATTGAAAAGGTTATGTGTTAAATGTGAAAATTATGTAAATGCACCAACTATGCTTTTTCTTTTTGTGTAATTATTGATAGTTGGGATACATGTCATATTTACACAATTATAAGAATGGTGTTCTTTGCTTAAAGAAAAATGAAAAAGCTGGCTAAATTACATTTTAAAAAAAAGAATAAAAAAAGGTATGTGCAATTAAGAAAAATTGCTTTTGAACAACTAAAGGAAAGGGAAAAAATTAAATGGAAAAATTGGATAGAATACTTTAAACAAAAGAAAAATTTTTAAAAAGGAGTGGCGAATGTGAAGATTGTATGAATGTAGGTAAATTGGTATTCCCTTTGTTCCATAAAGTTTCTCACCTTTGGGGATGTGTGTTTTTATCAACAGTACACGTAGATTGAAAAAAGGGTTAATTACATTTACCTCCCTTGAGGTTTGTCCAAACTACAAATCAATCCCCAAAATTTGACCAAATTACAATAACTTCCTTGTCCTTAATGACATTAGAATCTGACTAACAATAGTAATGAAATGTCAGGAATGCCGTCATTTGCATTAAAAGTGTTAAAAATGAAAAAAAGCAAAGTAAAAATAGGAGTAAAAAAATTTTGAACAAAGGAAACAATAAAAAATTAACAAAACAGCAAAAGATAAAGGAAAAAAACTTTAGGAAAAAGGCAATACGTAACGCTAGTTTGGTTTTGTAATAACAAAGAAAAAAGAAAAAAAAGAAAAAGAAAACCCAAATCTGTTAGAATCCTTTTATCACTATTCTTCTTGCTCTTCTTTCCTCACATTTCCTCATCTCATCCCTGAACTATCGAGATTAGATGTCCTCTCTAATTAGGTTTTTTCAATCCATTAGTATTCCTTTCTCGCTTTGCTTGGTTACGTCTTCTCTTTCGTCGTCAACAATCCAAATCAAATTTCCTTTAACCCAAGTCCTTTTCATTGATATCACTTCTCTCCCTTTGATTCCTTTACTAAACCATAATGTGAAAGATTCAAATGCCTTCAAATTCAAGTTCTCAGTGAAAATTTTGAACAACATGAAATTCGTTAAATAGAGATTTTTCCTAAGGTATGAGTTTAAGATGATAAATGGGAATTCGTCCAACAGAACAGTGTTTTTTCCTAATATCCATATTCTTTTCATGATCATTTCAGTCTGAATTTTGTGATTTTTAGTTGTTATTCAATTAAATGAGGATTAGAACAGCCACGGTTTTCATTCTGGATGGTTGTTCTTTGACCATTTTTGGCCAATTTCATGGTGAAAATTGCTTTCTAGACAAAATACTATTTAGATGCGTAATATTAATTAGTGATTTTAGTTATAAAAATGTTGGAGGCAGGCCACAATGTGTCATCGGCAACCATTTCCACTGCCCCTGCCTGCTTGTACCATGGTTGAATTTTTTTTAGACAGAAAATAAAGCAAAAACAAAGGAAAGATTTTTAATGGTGGACACTTTGGGACATTCACTACATACTTTTTCTTGAGGTCATACAACTGAATGGCCAAACGTCTTTTTGACTAATGGCAAAGGGGTAACTGTTATAGATTTGTGAGTTTAAAGATCTATTTTGTAATTTAGCCAAATGTCAAGGATCGATTTGTAGTTTGGCCAAACTTTAGGGGAGGTAGATGTAATTAACCCATGAAAACATTGGGTTTGCTTTCTATTTTCATCCTCAATTCATTGGTGGGAAAATGTGTTAGTTTAAAAGACTGCTAATTTGAAACTCATGTGGAGCCTACCATGTTACTTTTTGCTCCGAAACATCCATAAGAGTGAGCGTGTGCTAACATACTCCACACTCATCCAATTTTCCGTACAAGGCACGCTCTAGTATAAGCAAGTGCGGTGAATATGTATTAAAGAGAATATGGATCCACAATAATATCAAAAGATCTGTTGTTCCTAGTTGTACGAAGGGTAACTATTGAAATGCAATACAAAATGATATGCCAAATACGGAAAGGTAACATAATTTTGGGATGAATCAAAATGTAAGTATGACAGTTTCAAAGAGACGGATGAGGTATTATAATGAAATACTTAAAAAAGTTTAAGTGATAATATTTTATTAGGTATCTAAAAAATTCCAAATCATGATGATTCTGATATTCTTTAAAGTGTTATATTTACCACATTATATGCTTGATTCCAGTTCTTATATGTATACCTTTGAAGTGTGCAACATAATAGATTCTTGATTAGTTCTTCATTTGGACCCTTAAAATTAAGGGAACAGGTTGATGACATTTGAAGATTTACCACATTAATGCTTGATTCTAGTTCTTATACATACGGCCTTTACCAGCTTGCAACACAACTAAGTTAGGCTTTTCCAAGTATTTTAATTTTCCTTTACACTTTTTTTGGGTGTAAGCTTCCTTTTCCTTTTGTTTCTCAAGTTATCTGTTGGATCAACAGCTTCAAGTGTTTTTTATTTTTCTTGTTGTAAATGCTTTTAGCAGCAGGAACTCATGCCCTTTAATTTACTTTTGCAAGTCATATATATATATATACATAAAATTGAGAAATGATACATATATCACCACTAAATGTATTACCAATGCATTACAAGTGTAGTAGGTGCGCATGTGAAATACTAAAATGTCGTGTCCATATCCCCTATGTAGACTGTAATTGTGGAATTTTTTTCAATTAAATTCATTCATATGACTTTCTTGATCAACAATTATCATTCTTCGTTCAACCTTGCTATTGCACAACAAGAACCCCCCTCCCAACACAACGAAACCAAAAAAAAACCCCAGAAAAAAGAAAAGAAAAAAATAGCTTTCCTTATCCTTTCTTCTTGACACATTGACAGAACACAACAGTTAGCCGTGAACTTACAAGCCTCTTAGCTATATGAAAGGTTAACATGCGATCCATGGTATGCTACTTTACGAATATGCTTTCTATACATATTTCTGATGAGAAATTTGGTGAACCAAATGTGGTTTATGTAAATTTTGGCAACAGATTTATAGTCTTCATTGTACGACAAATTGAGAGTTTGTGAGGAGATACAAAATGCCTAATTGTATGCGAGATGTTGTTCCGAGAGCAAATACTCATCCATCACTCAATTTGAAATTTGAAATTATAGTAATTTTTAGACAAAAAATTTAAAAAAAAAACATAGTAATTCAGATTACATGACTGGACGCTTGGCTAGTCATTTAGAAAAATATATTGTAGCAATTTGATATATATGAGATAAAAAGATGATTACAAAATATGTCCACGAAAAATGTAAAAATTTATAGAGGACAATGGCTTTCCAAACAAGGCTTTAGTGTCCATCATCCGCATTGTCTTCGTTTAAGAGTTTGTTCACCAATGATACATTGTACTCAGAACCAAAAATCATGATTTTGATTAGCTTATTGTCTTAATTAGTACAGTGTAATGGCCAACGGAAAGATCTAATTGATAAGTGTTTATTTTACATACTTTTGTGTGGTTAAGTATGTGTATTTTACTATGTTTTTAATTATTTTAGGAGATAAATGATTAGTTTTCTTATCAAAAGTTACTTTTTATGTTATAAAT